TAAATCAGACACTGATGGAGCAGCACTCTATGTATCTCTTTATATAGGCTTTTTTTTGGTCAGGGGGTACATTTTTGAAAATCCAATCATTATATACATTATAAACTTAAACATACAATGTGCTTTGGCAATAATATATTCAACTACCATCAAACAAATTTCAATTCTTTTATCTCATATGTGTGTCTTTTTTGAGAAAATTTCTCAGAATTCTGATTAAATTTTTTTGAATTAAAAAAATCCTTGTCATGCACACGTGTCTGTCTGTTTCTGTGTGTTTACCCGGCTCTCGAGGCGGTCGCTGTTGAGTCTCAGCTCATTCCTCTCTTTCTCCACCTTCTCCAGCTTCTGCTTCAGCTGCTGGATCTCTTCCTGAGAGGAAGAACACAAGATGTTAATGACAGACACAGACAGAGGATACAGCAGATAAAGTGAATCAATCAGCTAAAAATAATTATATTCAGAAGTGTGTTCTATTTTTTGCTAAATTGTAGGGGTGTACTGGGTACACCATTTATGTTTATCTTATGTGATGTGATGCATTATTATCAAACAAAGATTCATTGAGACATGCTAGTTGTCTCCTGCAAAGTTTAACAGTGTCAGAATGGTCAAAATTCAAGGAATTTCCATGAAAAAACTTTGAATTACATTCCAGGAAAAGTACTTGAAAATGTAGGATATTTTGATGTGAATATGGTCAAAATGTTTCCAGTTTCTATCAAGAGTCCATGTCAGCCTCAAATCCACCAGTCTTACATTCCAGCAGAAAAAGCTATTTCCTGTGTACTAGTTCAGTAGTTGTGGTTCTAAAGGAAAACGCAACAATTTAACATCATTCACACCATTCTTACAGTTGTGCACCAGTATAATGTGTGTCTGTGTGTGTGTATACTCACGTCCTTGCCGCGGATCTGTTCCTCAGTGAGCTGCACCTCGATCAGAGGTCTGACAGTGGTCAAAAGCTTCCACCATGGCCAGTGTTTGACACCACGATTCTTCTTTATGTTCTTCTGGATGCAGCGGATGGCCAGATCCTGGATCTGTCACACAAACACACACGCAACAATATTAGGCAGAGGACCAACGAAAGACCGAATAGTGTGTGGGCAGCACAAGGTACGCAGTCCATATTTTCTTATTAGTTAGCTAGTTGCTCCAAGAATGGGTAGGAGCAGGTCAGGTTCCCCAAAAGCCTCTGAGAAACAGTGAACAATGATTTTCCAATGTGTGGAAAGTTTAGGGCAAGTCCAACAATGTGTTAGATTACGGATCATAGCCTTAGACCCGTTGCACACTGCCTGCGTCTGCATAGTGTGGTGGAGCGTCTTTCTTTATTTCGGTGCCAATGTTAAGACAGTTAGAGCAGCCGCACTGCCAGCTGCAGCGACGGTTCATGACAGTGAAAATGTTTATATGCTTGTTCACAGTCATATCGACATTACACCACCATATACAGCTTTCACTAAAGTTTCAATGTCGTTATCTGGTAGATAATGTTCACGACATGAAGAAAAATATGGAATGAATTTTTTAAACTCAACCTCCTGTATCAATTTTCAAAGATAAAAGCTCTCTGGTGTTCTGTGGCAAAACCATGTCATTATGGTTAAACAAAGTGAAAGATCACTGAAAAAGATATGTACGACTTTTACCTGGAGAATGTATCATCTTTTAACCTGTACATGGCTATGCCTAACATTGTGAGCAACTTTTTATAAAGTACATTTTTATATATTTTTACCTGAGCATAATATTCAAGTACTCTTTCCATGCCTGGTTGTTACCTTTACTTTGGCATACGTGCATGCGGTTTGACTAATGGCTGTTTCTCAGACAGACTGAACATTTCAAGCCCAAATCAAACCATCAATGTTAAACCGGCAGCTTGTTGAAGAGGCATTAAGAGAAACCTTCCCTAACTGCAGGTAATCTGTAGAGCCATTCATAACACACAATTGGGATAAATTGTTCTCTACAGCAAAGGCTGGCAAGACCGGGAGCTCCTAATTACAGAAAAGGTACTCAGACAGACCTAAAGAAAAAAAAGTAACTTTTATAGAATAATTACTTTTTGTCATATTTGTTG